CATGTATTAACTATATTGGTTTATATAATGTATTCTACGGTATAATAACGTCACTGTTAAAAAGTAATATAGAGATAACTCTAATTTCAATATCAAATCGGATTACCAATCATATACACATATTCAAACAGCTAATGCCCACAAGATTCAAACAGCTAATCCGATTACCACCTATCCATTTTCTAAATTTTTTTTTTTTAAAAACAATTGAATAAATAGAAAATCAAAACAGAAAATCTTATCTCTATTATAACAGAAAGTTTTGCAAGATCTAATCCGATTACCATCTATCGATTTTCTAAAAAAAAAACTAAAAAAAAACAATTCAATAAATACAAAATCAAAACAGAAAATATTATCTCTATTATAACAGAAAGTTTTGCAAGATCGTATCCTTAAATCAATATCATATCCAAGATTTTCGCATCATAAGCATATATTTAATTTCAACCTGATTGGTCTATAATTTCGGTAACTAATTTTCTTGCAGAAGAGGAAACAATAAATTCAAAATCTAATGGAATATATAGATTGAACCAAATTCCTATATTCGGGTATATTTTCGAAAGAAATAGAAAAAAAACGGTTTTAACATGGGTTTCAATAATGTGGGCTTTCAACATATTATTTTGACACAGAACAAATGATCAGAAATAATATATTACTAGATGATAACCCGCGCGCATGCGCGGGGTGAAATTTTTATACTAATATTTATTCATTAAATGGTTTTTAACATTTTGCAATACTACAGTATTTATCGATTATAAAATGATGAATACAAATGTTGGTATCTTAAATCATCATAGGTCTGGACGTTTGAGACTTCGTCAGTTTTAGTTTGATTGACACGTATTTTCAGATTTTGGTATTATTCTCATAAATCCAGTTTGAATTTTACTAATTATCAGATTGGATTCGATTTGATCTTCTCAATTCAGTTTGGATTGGATTGTAACCAATATCTGAAATCATCCCCAAAAATACTTATTAAACATTAAAAGTTGACAAAAAAATAAAAATATTTAAACTATTAATAAATCTAATTTAAAATTAGTTAAATTATCAAAACAAACTAAAAGATATTTAAAAAAGAAGCAAATAAAAAAAAACTACAAAAATCTTTTGAATACTATAATTTGTATCTACTAACCTCAAACCTTTTCATTTAAATTTTTAAATTAACATATTTATAGTATGAATATCTACTAATGATACTTCATATTCGTACGATTTATGATAATTTGTATTTTCTTTGGAAAAAACAAAGTTAAACCATTGATCATAAAATTTTCAATGTGGGATTTTAATATTTTTAGTTATTTATGGTTGTTTTAAAAAAATTAAAAATATAATCTATAAGAAAAAATTTAATTTTTTATTATATATTTAAATGTGATTGTTTAATTTATTTTAATAATTTAAAATTAAACAAAAAAGAGAGAGGATACAAAAATATGTATTATTCATAATCATTAATTACATATATATGTTAATCATATTAGGTAATTCCGTAGCTTTTATTTAAGGAAATAAAATATATTTTTTTTATACCTAGCAGAGTTGGTCCCTTAAAAAATGTCCATATATTATAGTCCTAAATGCAAGAAATTAAATGTTACATTATTTCATTCCTAGCAAAGTTGGTCCATTAAAAAATTAAAGCTGAGAAGCTCTGTGAGCTTGACACGTAANATCATATTAGGTAATTCCGTAGCTTTTATTTAAGGAAATAAAATATATTTTTTTTATACCTAGCAGAGTTGGTCCCTTAAAAAATGTCCATATATTATAGTCCTAAATGCAAGAAATTAAATGTTACATTATTTCATTCCTAGCAAAGTTGGTCCATTAAAAAATTAAAGCTGAGAAGCTCTGTGAGCTTGACACGTAAGTATGCTCCCCAAGGTTGTGCATTTATGAATGCTTCAGGATTAATATATAAGGGATTAATATAATTATGAAATAGTTTAGATTGGGATGACCAAATTTTAATCTGTTTTTATATGTTTATTTTTTATACAAATTTACAAAATCTTTTTATTTTTTTAAACATGTTAAACTAACTTTTAATTTTTAGGCATATTGAGTCATAATATAATTTTAAAAATAATTTGCGGTCATTTCCATTGTCTTTATATATAGTATACAATTATCTAATTAACGATATATGTTTAATTTTTTTATATGATATCGAAGATTGATCATACAATAGATGGTTTAACATGCCAAAAATATTATATGCTAAGTGAATATAATATGATCAAGTATTACAAGTACATCATTTACTAAAATAAATAATCAACAACCGAAAAATCATATCCGCGCTGGCGCGCGGGTCAAGGTCTAGTTCATAATTAAACTTTAAAGGTAATTTTCAAATATAAAAACTTGAACTTTTGACCAATTACCAAATATATGTTTAACTAAATACTTGAGTTAATTGTTTATGTAATAGATATCTACTTTATGAATTCAATAGTATTTTTTAATATTTTTTAGGTATTTATTTGGGTTTCAATTCGATTTTGTTAGAAGTTTGTTTTGAGATTTTAAAAATATGAATTTTAAAGATATTTTATATGGTTTAGATTCGATTCAGATAAAATTTATATTCTGAAATATCACTGAACAATACCTATGTAGTATTTATGTTAGATTCAGTTTAATTCGTATTTATTTTTATTGGGTCAAGTTCAGTTTAGGTAATCAAATTTATTTAATTTATTTTCAAGCAAAAAAATAATAATAATAATTCGTTATATGCCCAGCTGTGAATTTTCTTTTCAGAATCTATAATTCTCTTTTTTTGTCTTTTATATTTTTAGATAATCACTTCCTTCACCATATTTATCCTTTCAGCCCATTTTTCAAAGAAAAGAAAAACATATTTATCCTCTCACCTTTTGTTTTTACTTTCGAAATATGAATAATGTATACAATATGATATGGATAACGACAAACATCTAGTCAGCAACATTCGCAACATTCGCTGACACGTGGCCACTTGGCACCAAGAGAGCATCAGCATAGCGATAAAAAAAGCAAACACAAATAATAGCGTGAGACCCAAGCATCATCATCTTTTCATCATTCATTCATTCAGTTCTTTCCCCCGATTCAAGATCCAATCACAATGGCCGCAGATCCCAACCCTAACAAGTTCCCCGTCCTCTCCTACGTCCTCGCTCGTCTCCCTTCCTTCACCAAATCCTCCTCCCCTTCCTCCGTTCCCGCCTTCGATGTCGAGCAGCCACCTTCATCCATCGAGATCGTCACACAGATGCCTCACCTGGCACACCCCTCCGTCCTCGCCTCCATGACCAAAGCCATCACCGACGTGGCTCAAACACGTTCCATCCTCCGTACCCTAGGTCCCAGGCCCGATCACGAGAACGTCGACAAGGCACGTGCCAAGCTCTCGGAGATCGAAGGGATCTTGTCCGAGTCCTTTAACGACATCGCGATCAACGAGACTGCGGGGAAAGGTGAGGAGGATAAGAAGAGGAAGGGAGAGATGGGGAAGGATAAGACGTGGTGCGAGTCGATTTTGAAGTTGGACGAGGTTCATGATTCGTATGAGAAGCTCTTGAAGGAAGCGGAGGAGAGGCTTGTGAGGATTTATGAATCTGTGGAGAAGGATGGTGAGGTTGTGGTGGGGGATGGGGATGAGGAGAGTGTTGTGGCGGTGGAGGTTAATGAGGAGGTTGTGAGGATACTGAAGCATGCGTTGGATAATACGGTGGAGCGTGTGGATTTGTCTGGGAGGAAGCTGAGGTTGATACCTGAGGAGTTTGGGAGGATTCAAGGGTTGCTTGTTCTTGATCTCTCCAATAATCAGCTCCAGGTTACTTCTTTGGTTCCTTTTGAAATCATAATCTGGTACATTGTTGCGTAAAGGGTAAGTTTTGTGTGTGTTACTGGCTTCTCTGAATGTTAATATGGTAAAGTTTGGTAAGTGTAAAATATAATGAGATAACAATGGTGGGAAGGATCTTAACCATTTTGTAGGAAGTTTCATAGTTTGAGTGACCGATGGGACAAAACTAATATTACATGTCGTGGTTTCGAGCCTGAAAGGTTTACATGATTCGGCTTGAACCTCCTGATATTAAAAAATAAAGAAAAAAACAAGATTACTTGGTGCATTTTATTCTGGCCTTACTCTATTGAGTGAAGAACAATGCCTTATTCTCCATGTTAATCATAATCTGCTACACTGTTGCGAAAAGGGTAAGTCTTGAATCTGTTCTTCGTTTTTTCATGGATGTCAAAGAAATGCAGCATTGGTTTTAATAGGCTATAGTGTTTGGGAGTTTGGTAATCTTTAGAGCACCTCCATTGGGGTTCTTACAGCAGAGTTCTTAGCGAAATATAAGAGCTCGTCTCTTAACTTTTAACTAAAAAAATTTAGGAACCGGTTCTTAAATAAATACATTAGAGAATCGGTTCTTAACTTTTTAGTTAAAATTTAAAAGATGTGTTCTTATATTTTATATTCTGCTAAGAACCTCGCCGGAAGAATCCCCAATGGAAATGGTACGCAAAGGTAAATTTATTGGGAGCAGTGTGCAATGACTGATGAGCAATCCTTTTAGTAAAATATAACGAGTGATCTCATGATTAGTACTTGCATTTGATTCTGACCTTACTCTGTTGAGCTACCAACAATGCCTACTTCTGTTGTGAAGCAAAGACATTTTGTATCAATAATGTTTAGTATGATGTAGATTTAAAGAGATTCTACCTATTTTGCTTGTCCAATAAGTTACTTATTAAAGGAAAAGTTTTCAGGTATGGCCTAATGGATTAATAAACGTTCTGCAAATGAATGTTGCTGATGTTCATGATATAGATATTTTCTTTGATTGTTCTGAGTTATAATCTATGACTCAAGCTGCATTAATTTTCTTTATTTTATTAGTGATACAAAATGAATTTTGAAAAAGCTCAGTTTCAGTGTTTCACTTGTCTTACCTGACCTAAGGCTTTTAATGTCCCAACAGGCTATTCCTGATTCAATAGCAGGACTGCATGATCTTACTGAACTAAACGTCTCCGGTAACCTTCTAGAGACATTACCAGACTCTATCGGTCTACTCTCCAAACTGAAAATCCTGAATGTCTCAACCAACAAACTCACCACCTTGCCTGATTCCTTCTGCCGTTGTTGGTACATAAACTCTTAACCTCCCCAAGTTTTTAATATTTTTTTCTTAAAATACTTCTTAACACCAAATTCTCAGGTCGTTGATTATCTTGGACGTGAGTTTCAACCGTCTCACATACTTACCAACCAACATAGGATTCGAGCTAGTAACTCTCGAAAAGCTCATGATCCAATACAACAAGATCCGATCCTTCCCTAGCAGCATAGGAGAAATGAGATCCCTAACATACCTCGACGCACACTTCAACGAACTCCACACCCTTCCTGATTCCTTCTGTCTCCTCACAAACCTCGAGTACTTAAACCTAAGCAGTAACTTCAGTGATCTCAGTGAGCTCCCTAATTCATTCGGAGACCTCATAGCTCTCCAAGAACTCGACTTAAGCAACAACCAACTCCACGCACTCCCGGACACTTTCGGGTCACTAGAAAGCCTGGTGAAACTGAACGTGGGGCAGAACCCGCTCGTGGTTCCACCGGAGGAAGTGGTGAAGGAAGGTGTGGAGGCGGTGAAGATGTATATGGGTAAGAGGAGGATTAGTATGTTGGAAGAAGAGGAGAGGAGGAAGATAGAGGAGGAGATTGAGGAGGCAAATGCTGGGTGGCTCACGAGAACAACGTCGAAGCTGAAGACTTATGTGACAGATGTTTCGGAGTATTTGGGATCGGGTTCTCCTCGAGATGCTTACCTTGAGCAGAAGCTGTGAATGTGTGAGTTTTTTGACTTGAATAAACTCTTTGGTTCCAAAGAGATGGGTGCTTTTCTTTGGTTTTGTCCCCTCTAATGAAGGACTCTTTACTTGTGGTCCGTTTTGATTCTTTTCTGATGTGTTATGCCTGTCATTTAACTTTAGGCTCTTACTTTAAGATTAAACCTTCTCGGATTTTGTCTTTTTTTTGGTTGGTTAATAAAAAGCTCCAAGGAGTTTAACTGAGTTCTGTTTTTGAGTTTTTTTTGTTGGTTTGGTTATATAATTGTATGAATCTAAACAACAAAGTCTAAGTTAAAAGTCTATATGCGTCTTGGATCCGTTGATGCTATTTCTCTTTAGTGGTTTATTCTGAGGGATTAGTTTTTTATCGTCGGTGGTGTTGTTAATAATAAGAGTGAGCGCGTTTGGTTAAGTCAATAGACAAAAGAACGTGCCCAGTGCGTGGAATAAACGGATGATATTCCACTTGATTGACCCTAAAACACGTTTAATAGACAACAAGATGGTGTTGGTGTATTCCCACAAAGTCGTATAATATTACCAAAAAAGTACTCTTATTTTTCTATATATAAACGAATATATCTTAATATATTAAAATAACACTGTAACAAATAATTATGAGAAATCGAACAATTGACATTTCAACTACCTATCACTAGCTATCTATATTTTGGTTTGCATCTTCTATTAACTATCTAATTTTTTTTTCTGGAGCTCGCTTGATGATTTTTAGTGCATGATGAACCATACAAAGCTTAGTAAATATATGCATCTTCTTACCCAATCCTTGAAAATGAACCTACATTTCTATTAGAAAACTGAGGAAGTATCATAGTTATATATCAATTTGTCATTATTTAATAAACTCACAGTGTCATGAATTATATTATTTAATTTGATACATTGCAATGGAAGCAGAACGGAAGAAGTCAAAAATCTATTAAAAAAAGTCAGACGTTCCCTTTCCTTGGTTCATACACATATAATCCAATGACACTTTGATTATTATTCGAGTAATCAATAAACAATTCCATTTTCATTACGTATGCATTTATTGAAGAATTAAATATTACAGAAACTGGTACCCAGTGAAAACCTTATAAAAATAAAACGCATTAAAAACTCTCATGAAACTGCAAACAAAACCTTCCATCTTAAAACAGCGAAGTAGAAGAAGAAGAGGCGTTATTTTTTTGCAACTTTGACCCCCAAACAAAACAAAAATCACTCATTTAACCTCTAACTTCTTCTCCAATCACAATTTCAACCCAATCTCGGATATGAAGCTCCCGGCGACGACCGGCCGATTCTTCACAATCGGACTCGTGGCGTCATGGTACTCCTCAAACATCGGAGTCCTACTCCTCAACAAGTACTTACTAAGCAACTACGGATTCAAATACCCAATCTTCCTCACCATGTGCCACATGACCGCCTGCTCCCTCCTCAGCTACGTCGCGATCGCGTGGATGAAGATGGTCCCTATGCAGACGGTCCGATCCCGCGTCCAGTTCCTCAAGATCGCGGCGCTGAGCCTCGTTTTCTGCGTGTCGGTGGTTTTCGGGAACATTTCGCTCCGGTTTTTGCCGGTTTCGTTTAACCAGGCGGTTGGTGCTACGACGCCGTTTTTTACGGCGGTTTTTGCGTATTTGATTACGGTTAAGAGGGAGGCTTGGTTGACTTATGTCACGCTTGTTCCGGTTGTTACTGGTGTTGTTATTGCCAGTGGGGTAATAATTTAATTTCTTTCTTTTTTTTACTTGCAGTAAATAAAAATGTGGTCTTTTGATTTGGTTTTTGTGAGTATTTTAGATTGGTTGATGAAAGTCTGTTAGCTTTAGATTTGGTTTTTTGATTTGGTTTTTGTGAGTATTTGAGATTTGTTGATGAAAGTTGTTGCTGGTGTTGTTATTGCCAGTGGGGTAATAATTTAATTTCTTTTTTTTTTTACTTGCAGTAAATAAAAATGTGGTCTTTTGATTTGGATTTTGTGAGTGTTGGAGATTGGGTGATGAAAGTATGTTAGCTTTAGTGGTTAGTTCTGTTAACTTCTTTGCTTTGTCTTAATCACTTCAGAATGTGAGTTTTATCATTTATGTGATGTGTAAAGGTTTTGCGTAGAAGTGAGTTGTTTCTTATATGTGTGATTACTTTTGGATCGGTTTGATTTCATTAGGAGTTTTGCTATATGTATTGGGGTGATAAAAGTTTGTAGCTTTAGGGAGATGGAGATGTGAAGCAGATGCAGAAAACTAGAGGGGGGAGTTTACAGTTTTGACGTGCTTTAGGAGTAGAGTGTTACGAGCTTGAATCTGATTGGTTTGATTTTATTTGGATGTTGATAGATATCGATCTTAGTTTACATTTCATCTTAGGAAGGAAAGGAAACTTTTGGGATTGCTTTAAGCTTGAAGCTGTTGAGTTCTGTTAACGTCCTTACTTTATCTCATTCACTTCAGAATTTGAACTTTCTTATATGTTTGTGTGCAGAGTATGCTTACTGTCTTGGAACTAGTTTCATTTGGAGCTTCACTCTCTGTTTTTGAGTTGACTCTCTGTTTTATTTCTTTTCTCGTTTTTGATGTATTAATCAGGGTGAGCCAAGTTTCCATCTGTTTGGATTCATTATGTGCATTGCAGCCACAGCTGCGAGAGCGCTTAAATCAGTTCTTCAAGGAATCTTACTATCTTCAGAAGGGTAAGAGATAATTTATCCGCTAGAGTTTTATCTTTTAGAAGTTTGTATTTTATTTAAGAGTGAGGCTGAAAGTGTTTACTGGAATTTGTTTTGAAGGGAGAAGCTAAACTCGATGAATCTCCTACTTTACATGGCTCCCATAGCTGTTGTGTTCCTTCTTCCTGCTACTCTTATCATGGAGAAGAACGTTGTTGGGATCACAATTGCACTTGCTAGAGACGATTTTAGAATCGTTTGGTATTTGCTATTCAATTCTGCCCTCGCTTATTTCGTGAACTTGACCAATTTCTTAGTCACTAAACACACAAGCGCTCTGACTCTGCAGGTAAACTATACATTAGCACTTATCATCTACAAGAAAATTGACTCATTTGTGTCATTTTGAGCTATCCTAAGCGTGACCACTTCTTATAAGCTAATAAGTGAGTTATTAATTTTATCTATGACAGGTGCTGGGAAACGCCAAAGGTGCAGTAGCAGTGGTGGTTTCAATCCTAATATTTAAGAACCCTGTCTCAGTAACTGGAATGTTGGGTTACTCGCTCACTGTTTGTGGAGTTATCCTTTACAGCGAAGCTAAGAAACGGAGCAAATGAGGAAAAAAAAGTCATTTATTTATTTGTCAAGTCTTCAGGTAAACAAACACGAAGAAAGTTTCTTTTGCTGTGAACAAAGAACCTTACACAGCATCTTGGGACCAAGCATCCAAAGATCAAGAGTTCCAAAAGCAATCATTTAAAGGACTTAACAAATAAGTGATTTTTTTTTTCCTTTTGTCTTTTTGTTTTGTTTACCGGCTTCTTCAGCTTTTGTCGTAGGTTGTTCTAAGAGTAATTTAGCTTTCTTTTTATGTCAATTCTTTACATCTTCCTTTTTGATATCAACATTTATAACACACATTAATTAATGGAAAATACCAAGGCTTTTTCTTTCACCTCTCTTTTGTGTCCACTCGTTCATGATGCTTATTTTACTCACTGGTTTCGTAAAAAAACCGGGACTACATTGCAAGTGACGTTTATATGTGTATCAAGACTATTCAAGACGAGTTCATATTCTTCTGCAACAATGTCTTGTCTTGCCAAACCATTACACTTCAATCTTTTCCAGAGAAACAAGAGCATACTGACTATAATGGTCCAGCCACACAATGATAACGACCAATTGTATATATGTGCATTTATCTATGATTATAGAGCTTGAATCGCTCCAACTCTGATTTGAAACATAGTTGTAGTTTACTTCAAGCGGCTAAAATGATATTCATATCAGAGAAAACCAAAAACAATCAAACCTATATGCTTTCTTGTCTATACTATATATAGTAAGAAGTTATGAACGTGATGAAAGCTGCATGGCAGCCTGAACACCACAGAGTATTCGTGGAGGTATGCCCTGAAGCAAAAGCTGATGGTGGATGAAAAACTGGAACGCAGCATATATTGAAGCCTCTTCAACAGCAGATTAGAGCGAGGTTTAACAAGATGCTGCTCAAGAATCATTGGGACTCAATGTTCAAGCAGTGGAAAAATATGGCGTATGCTTGTTCCATGTATTTGTGGAGTTTTTTAAATCTTAAGGCTTATACATAACATTGATTTGGATTTGTCACAGGTGAATTCTGAGTGCTAGTCGTCCTAATGTTGCTGCCTAATTAAGATCCTCTTTTAACTGTCAACTCCTTGCTTTTTTTTTTTTTTGTGATTAAGCAGAACCCTTTTATTTCTCTTTTTCAGCTGTTTTATCTTTCTTTTTTTAATGCTTGTAGAGTTGTTTCTGACATCTAACATATGTTGGGAGTAACCTATATCAACATATCTCTTTTCAACAGTTTGAGATATTTAATTGTTAGTCTTTGTTTCCTATTTTTATTAGGTTTTGAGAATCTGAGTGCTTAGAGTAGGTTGACAAGAATCTTCCATATTAGGTGGATTCTAACCTAAGCGAAGAGAGATTTAATGACAGTTGAAAATACTGTAAGAGCTAGTTATTGTCTCGAGTGCCACCATGGAAAGCTACATTTGAACTGTTAAGACTCTGACGTGAGTTGCAAGGAACTACTCTCGTCTCCATTGCAGATGAGAGGTAAACTTCAAAGTGTTATTATCTTATCATCTATGTAGCTTTCTCTTCTTTATGTAGTTTTGAAGTAAAAAAAAAAATTCCAATAATAAGACCCAGAAAATGACTACAAGATCAAGTCACTGATCTACACAGCCTTTATTTATAGCTTCACAGATTGATCCTCACAACTTCAGTTCCAAGCAAAGGCAGATAGAGAAAGAGAATGACTTATTCTTGTGCTCGAATTTTTCTTCTTGTGTTTCTCTCTTTTCTATATTTGGCTAAGGCAAACATTCGTCACTACAAGTTCAAAGTAAGTATTACAGCTTTCCGAGTTTTCTTGAACAACAAGTAATCCAGAACTACTCTTCATATTCTCCTTTATGAGACAGGTAGTGATGAAGAACATGACCAAGCTCTGTTCAACAAAACCAATAGTTACCATAAATGGTAAGTTCCCTGGACCAACTCTATACGCAAGAGAAGACGATAATGTGATCGTTAACCTAACCAATAAAGTCAGCTACAACGTCACTATCCACTGGTAACTACAACTCAAAAAGAGTGAGTGATTCCATATATTAAAGTTGTTTAAACAAACCTTGACATATCTCTCCAAATTGGGCTTCTTTTTTTTGCAGGCATGGTGTGAAACAACTAAGGACAGGATGGTCCGATGGTCCGGCCTATATAACTCAATGTCCGGTCCAGCCTGGAGGAACTTTTGTCTACAATTTCACGCTCACGGGACAACGAGGAACGCTTCTATGGCATGCTCATATCTCGTGGCTTAGGGCTACGGTCCACGGTGCTATAGTCATTCTTCCCAAACGCGGTGTACCTTACCCGTTTCCTCGGCCTCATACCGAGAAAATCATCGTTTTCGGTTAGCTAAGCATGGCCGGATCTGATAATTAGGGGATTTTAAACATTTTTAAGTTAATTTTAATTTCAAAATTCAACAATTTGAGAGTACTATGTATCTATATATAATAATTATTAAAAATTTGAGGACAAGGCGAATGTTTCATCCAGCTGTATCTTGAACCGGTTCTGTTAAGCTATATAGTTAGTCTCTTAAGTTGTGTTTAATGAGATGAATTTTTCAGGTGAATGGTGGAAAACAGATGTTGAAGATGTGATTAATCAATCAACACAATCCGGTTTACCACCAAATATCTCAGACGCTCACACTATTAATGGACTAACCGGTCCAATAACCGGTTGCAACAATTCTCATGGTAGGAAGTAACTAGGCTTGACATTAAGCTATTTGGTTAAATCCGGTTTGGTTATTTTTGGTATGTTTGTCTATGATCGCAGGATACACAATACACGTTGAAACCGGGAAGAGTTACCTGTTAAGGATCATAAACGCTGCAGTTAACGACGAGCTCTTCTTCAAGATCGCACAACACAACTTAACCGTCGTTGAAGTAGACGCATCCTACACTAAACCGTTTAATACCGAAACGCTTTTCTTAGGTCCAGGCCAAACCGGAAACGCAATCTTGACCGCTAATCATCCCACAGGAACCTTCTTAATGACCATTTCTCCCTTCATGGACACCATTGTCCCTGTTAATAACGCAACCGCAACCGCCTTTCTGCGTTACAAAAGCACAACAACAACACAATCTTTAACTACGTCCAAGACTCCTCCAATAAACGCTACAAGCATCGCTCAAAACTTCTCAGACGCTCTAAGAAGCCTAAACTCACACGATTATCCGACCAACGTTCCTTTAAAGATAGACCACTCGCTGTTCTTCGCTATAGGAGTTGGCGTAAACCCTTGTTCCACGTGCATTAACGGAACCAAGAACATTGCGGACATCAACAACGTTACCTTTGTGATGCCAACGATGGCTTTGCTTCAAGCACATTATTTCAACAAAAGCCAAGGCGTTTTCACCGATGATTTTCCGGGGAGACCGTTGACGCCGTTTGACTACACCGGTGGTAATAATAACAGTACTCCGTTGAGTAATCTTCAGACAAAGAACGGAACAAAAGTGTATAGACTTGAGTTTAATGCAACGGTTCAGATTATTATCCAAGGGACAAGTGTTATAGCGCCGGAGAGCCATCCTACGCATCTGCATGGATCGAACTTCTTTGTGGTTGGTAAGGGATTAGGGAACTTTGATCCGTTGATGGATCCTAAGAAGTTTAACCTCGTTGATCCGGTGGAGAGGAACACTGTTAATGTCCCTACCGCAGGGTGGACAGCCATTCGGTTTATAGCAGACAATCCAGGTAGTAAATCTCAAAAGTATATTGTTAATGAATGAAATTATCATATCGATAGTTGGAGAAGTAATGAAATAATATGGTAAAAGTTAAAGCCAATTTTATCGCGAATTAGTTTTAAGTTGTAAGTTCATAATACACCAAAATTTAATTAACATATTTGAGTGACTCTGAACTAATTTTGAATTTGGTTAGGTGTTTGGTTCTTTCATTGTCACTTGGAAGTGCACACATCTTGGGGACTTAAAATGGCGTTTCTTGTGGAAGACGGCAAAGGTTCTAATGAAAAACTTCCACCGCCTCCAAGTGATCTTCCCAAATGCTGAAAGAGATCTTGTTCGTCTATTGAGCTTTTGAGAATTGTTTGGTTATTTGTACATTAAAGAAAGAGTTAATAGCCTGGAAAGCTAAGACTTATTCAGGTCTTTTGCATAATTTCTTTCTATTTGTTCTTGTTAAGTTTGTACAAAAAGTATTTATGATTGGCATTTGGCACAGAAATGAAATTTCATGATTTTCTTTTAATTTACGTTAGTTAAAATCTGGTATATATTCTACTGAGCTAACCAATTACCATAGTTTATCTTTACATGTTATGCAATGTCGATTCAGCTGTAAACGATATAATTTGTTTTAATTACACTTTGGTATGGTATTGGTAGACCTGTAATACCAAAAGCTGGTTGAGTTTCTTGGATTTTTTTCTGTTTAAGGAAAGTAATCTGTAACTTTAATAAGCATCAAACATGTAAAAAAAAATTGGGGAAATTGTTTTTTTAGACCAAAAAAACATATACATTGTCCCTTTAAACTAATCTCAAATTTTAACCATTTTTGTCTATAATACCCTTTTCTACTTATGAAAATAGATGAAATAAATAGTTTTAAAACCCGAAAAAATTAAGAAAAATAGGAATATGTGAAAAAATACCTATACCAATATATAAGTATTTTTATTTGGTTCTAAAAATGTTTAAATAAAATTTTTAGATTTCATTCTACGAACCGTAGAATTTACATTCTGCGAAGTGGAAACTAAAATCCACTTTTTTCATTAATTCTATAAAGATTAGAATAAGCATTCTACGTAAATAACAATAATCTAAAAATATTTGGAATATGTATTCTACGCTTTGTCCATCATTCTAAAAATCGTAGAATACACAATCTACACATTGCTAAAAATCTAAAATTTGTAGAAATCGAATTCAAATTTGTTAATTGCATTCTACAGATAGTAGAATGCAGATTCTACAGATAAATATGGATACTTCCGAAAATAAGAGTAAGAAAATATTTGAAAATATTTTGTTTCCATATTTGAAATTGAATTTTTGAACCAAAAAAAGTTGAAAAAAAAACAGTGGTTTTGCTGCCCTTCTTCAAACATTCGTCTTCCATATTTCCTTGTTTTCACATAATTTTCATAAAGGTTCTTCTATCATACATTGTGGTGTACGAGAATTGGTTTCTATCTTGATGAAAAGAAAAGAGAGAGGTTACAAAATTGAACTCCTCATCTTGATTGGAATTGAGATATAGAACATACTAACCACTTGATTATACTGTTTTGCAAGAACTACGAAAAGAACTACTTGACTTCTCCGTCAACTTTCAAGAGCCTTTCATTATATATATATGATTACATATATAGATACATTATAGAACGATCCATATATACATAAATCTAAAATAGCCAACTCCATAAACTCCCATCTGCTTTCTAAAGAAAAATTCCAGAATCACGGCCAAAAACAATATTATGTCATCTCATATTTGCAGCAATGAGACGTCCCAAGTCCAGTAGCTTATCCCACATGCAAATCATCTGCCGTGGCGACTGGTAACGAGTGGTGGAGTAGTCTTCTATGCATCCAAACTGGCAGAACCTGAGGCTGTGAACCACCTCCACTGGTCTAGTCGTTGAACTTCTCCACCCCCATTCCCTTGCTCACATCTTCCATCTTGAACAACTGAAAATCAAAGTAACAATGGCCATATCAACAAATGCTAAATTCAATCTAGCAAACGCATAAAGGGCTTAAGTTACTCTTAATCTCTTTTGTTCAAAATCATCCACAATGAACTTAGCTATGTCAAATAACAAGATGTAACCCGGACCATTTGCATATGGTGGATAGTACTCTTCTGGCCATTCCTGATGCAACCAATTTTATAATCTTTGACTTGTTCAGCTCCTAAAAATGTAAATTGTTACCTCATATGTCACAGCCCATTTCCCGTCATAGTGATCCATGTACGGTACTATGACAATACCACCAAGTACTCAACTTCTTTCTTTAGATCCACATTGACTTTCTTTCTTGTATGCTACAACATGAACCAACATAAACAAATGCAGATAAATTTCAATGACTATCATAAAATGATATTATTTTCAAGACTTGTTGCTTACTAATGCCTCAAAAATCAGGTAACAACTTTAGATGATCTGACAAGTTTCTGCTGCATCCATGACTTCCTCACAGCCATTCTCTCTGTAAAAAAGGTTACCAGCAGAGAGAACACCGATGAAGAGCTTCACAGTCTTCCCAGGTAACGCAGGAGCTTTCCACATGGTCTGCATCTCGAAATGCTTTTGCGGCGTTTGTCCAGTCGCATCATCTAGAATGCAAATCATCTTCCCCTTGACTGCTAGTCCAGTAGCATTCTCTAGAACAAACCGCTGTAAGAACCGTTACACGGATCAATGTTGAACCGAGCGTTTCAGACAAAAACGAAAAGAAAAAGAACTCACTGTTCTGTAAGGGAAAGATGTGATATGTCTTCCATTAACGCTGATGTGGTAACCTACCATTCCAGCTCTAAGGGTAAGAACAAAGAGCTTCCCTTCTTCAAAAGGGTATATGGCCAATCATGTGTTATCTTCTTCCGTTGACGCATAAGCCTATTCAACCACCATGTCTTCTTTGACTCATCAGAACCATCACCGTTAAAAATCATAGGCCGTAGACGAACCGAGCAAGAGTCGGAGAAGAAGAGATTAGCCGGAGACGAAGAGATTCACGCCGGAGTAGAGTCGGAGAAGAAGAGATCGACGCCGGAGTATCATTCGATTCCAAGCGCTCTTGACGTCGCCCCACCAAGAGATAGAGATTACGAGAGAGACGAAGATAACAAGTCTTCGACAATTAGGGCTCAATTTTTTTTTGATTTGGGAATTTTTTATGTTTCCATTTTATTATTAATTTATATTTTTATATTTTACAGTTATTTTTAAATTGTATTTTAGATGGGTATCATTGGGATTTTAGAAATTATTGACCTAATAGGACAATTATATATTGGGATTAGCCTATTAGGACAATGTTAGTGATTTTTTGGCCCAAAAAAACAATTTTCCCAAAAAAATTTAAATGGAGAGATAGTGGGACCTTTAACTGTTGAATTTGTCGACAAAATGTACGCGCCAGGTAGGGGTCGAACCTACGGCCTTCTGCTTAGGAAACAGACGCTCTATCCACTGAGCTACAGGCGCTTTTATGCTAACAATATTAACTGTCTAGTATTGTATTAAATTTATAGTTTTTCAATTACATTACATAGTCAACCTGTGTGTGGACCAGAAGAAAGAGTGACGATAGAACAAATTTGTCGTGTTATTCCGACTATTTTACTACCAAAATCATTTCAATAAATCAATATTTTTTTCTAATGAACAGCAACAATCCGAGTGGTAACCATTCACTTTTTCTCCATTCAGAAGATGCCAAATTTCACTTATTAAAACAAAAAACAAAAGAGCCTATCCTTTCTCTCCTCAGTGCCCCCAAATTAATAGTGACTCTTTCTATATTACACTTCGTCCTTGTCCTTTATAACTGAGTCTTCAGTTTCTGAGTCTGACTCTTCTCATCATCACAGCTTCAACTTCTCATTATTCTCATCTGCTGGCTTTGCTGTCTTTTTGTCTTCCTTAGACGACCTACTTTTGCAGAGATTCTCATAGATTCTTCAAAGCTTTGAGTTCTTTTACATATTCGAGGGTCCGTTTTATATGCTTGAAATCTCTCACCCAAATCAGGTTCTTGATTCCTTCAGTATATGGTTCTTGATTTTACCTTCCCTTTTTTGTCATTTTTTCCCACTTTGATTCCTAATATATTTTTTTCATTAAATTCTATATATAAATATAACCTTCCATATTTTCCTAAGACACACCACAAATCAATCCTTAGTCTTCCACATATACACTCACATAATGGACTTTTTTGAAATGTTTTTGTAGTCTAAACTTTTTTTTTTTCCTTCTTTTTTTCTATAGCTATGGAGACTCTACATCCACTCTCTCATGTGCCTATCTCTGATCACCGTTTTGTTGGTCAAGATATGATGAACTTACAAAGTTCTAGCAACATCTGGACTAAAGAAGAGAACAAGATGTTCGAACGAGCCCTTGCCATATACCCTGAAGACTCGCCTGATCGCTGGTTCAATATTGCTTCCATGATCCCTGGAAAGACTGTTTTTGATGTTATGGAGCAATACAGTAAGCTCGAAGAAGACGTTTTCGATATTGAAGAAGGACGTGTCCCCATTCCTGGTTACCCTTCTCAATTAGGGTTTGCACAAGACACGTGTCGGAAGCGACCTAATGGAGCCAGAGGGTCTGATCACGATCGGAAGAAAGGAGTCCCTTGGACAGAGGAAGAACACAGGTTAAAAAGAGACTCTTTCTATATTGGTTTCTTCTTATCACCTATTCTTGTGTTTCTTGTTACACAAGTTATTCCCCTGTTTTCTTAGGGCTTGCATTGATTGCTCTGTTTCTTGTTCTGTGCAGGAGATTCTTGCTAGGGCTTCTCAAGTACGGGAAAGGAGACTGGAGAAACATATCGAGAAACTTCGTGGTGTCGAAGACCCCAACGCAAGTCGCAAGCCATGCTCAAAAGTATTACCAGAGACAACTCTCTGGAGCCAAGGATAAGCGCCGGCCAAGCATCCATGACATCACAACCGTTAATCTTCTAAACGCTAATCTCAACCGTTCCTTTTCTGATTATAGAGATATCCTCCCGGATTTAGGGTTTATCGAAAAGGATAATGCCGAGGAGGGACTAATGTGTATGAGTCAGAATCTTTTCTCTCCATCATCATTAGCTCCCTTTGATGTTGCATTTAACTTTGCTGGAGCAAATGCATTCAGTGCGGGAGCTTAAAGTAAATATATAATCACCAAACTTAATGAAGTTGTGTTGTAAAACTGTATTGAAAAAAACTCAAGTTTATATATGTTGTGTCAATCTTGTTTTCTATACACGTATGTGCGTCAGTGTGTGTTTGTGTTTACGAAATCTCTATTTAAATTATAATATCTATGTTTTCTGCTCCATTAAATATCTATTCTATTAAAATAGAGTCATTATTTTTATTTACTGATATAAGTTGTCATTTAAATTTGGACAATTTCTAGAGTGTTACAAATAATACAAGTTATATAGTTGATTGAACCGCATTACTTAAATTAAACCGCCGGTTATTTATGGAATAGAGTTTTGCGCTTACTTTTGTTTTTATGACATTTAATTGTTTGGTTTTTGGCTTGGTATTAAAGAAAAATTCCAAAAAACATTAAATAAACTTTCCATCTTAATGAATCAAAAATCAATTACTATTTTCAGGCCCAAAAATATTTAATATTTTCAACAAAACAAAATTATCTATTATTAATCACTTATTTAAATCATGTACTTTAAAACATGTTAATATTTTTTAGCCCAAAAATATTTAATATTTTCAACAAAACAAAATTATATATTATTAATCACTTATTTAAATCATGTACTTTAAAACATGTTAATATTTTTTATTTTAAATAACAATCACTCTATCTTGATAAATTTTAATTGTAACTTTTAAATAATTTATTGTTTTATTTTTCTTAAATAATTTACAGATTTAAAAAAATATAAAGCAAAACCAAAAACCAAATCTAAAAACTAAAATCCAAAACCAAAAGTTGAAAACGCACGTTATATTTTTGTTTTTTTATTTACAAAATAAACTATTTCAAAATTTTTAGAAAATTATTTTGTCATCTTTTCAGTTTTAAATTACATGTTCGATTAATTGAGATTTGTTTGTTGGTAATATCAGTTCAAACTAACTCAGCGGGTCTAAAAATTAAAAATCCAAACCAAAAGTTGAAAATTAAAAATAGAAACTTAAAAATTAAAAACCAAAATTTAAAACAAAATCTAAAAATAAAAACTGAAACTAAAAACTAATGAAAAACAACTATCACCACAAATTTTGGTAAACTAATTTTATACCAAAAAATTCTTTAAATTAAGACAAAACTAAATTATATAAATTTTTAATCATAAAAAATTTCCGCGCTTAAAAAAACGCGGATCAAAATCTAGTAGTTGTTAAACGGACGTGCGTTATGATAACATTTAACCACAACTTATTTTATGAAGCTAAATGCAAAGATACCAAGACTAGGTAGATCCAGCACCACACATAAAGTTGATGACGGTTTATTGGTTTTGCTTAGACTTTATAAGGGAGATGGCTATAGTAACAAGACCACATATATTCATATGAAATAGCTAAAACCTAAAAGTGAAACTTAAAATTACAAATTAATTTGGGGGAAAATACATGATATGGTTGGAAATATTGGGTGACTGTAGGTGGAAGGAATGAACAATTGATCTGAGTTTAGAATAGAGGCTGACTCTGCTTCCCACTTCTGACCAAAGAATCTCATTCTTCTTATCTATTACACCAACCCCTTTGCCTCCCAATATATAATATATGTATTCAGAATTGAATAAAATGATGTCATTTGGATACAAATAGGTTCCAGTATTATTAGAAAATATATTGTTGTGTACTTCAAGCATAAGCTTAGAAAGTGATTGAAGTTTTTACTATGCTGTTCTAAGAAAATATTTGCCATGCTTAGTAGTTTAAAAACTATTTTAAGAAATACAATACTTAGTAGTTTAAAAACTATTTTAAGAAATACTTGCCATGCTTAGTAGTTTATAAACTATTGTAGGAAAGTTGTCTCTTTGTAAATTTAAAGGAAAAAAAATTAAATGAACTAAGAAATCACTTGAAATACCTCTGATTTTGATTTTATTTTGAACTTTGAAAAGAAATGTGTAACTATTAAACCTTCGACAAAAAAAATATAAATTTAAAGCTGTCTCAAAAATATTTGCTGTTCCAATCAAATACTAGAGAATAAAACGAAAGACAATCCCAAATAATTAAGTTTCTGACCATATTCAGCAAACCTATTGTTCAAATCACAAACAGTAGTATGGATATCTACTTTCCTTTTCTATTTTTGTTAAATAGTGAAGATAATACATTGTTTTTTCACGAAAAATGTACAAAATACTACTTCTTCGTATATATATAATTGATGTTTTGTATTTTTATTTTTATAAAAAATTGCTGTTTTTAGTTTAATTTAAAGAGTGTTGCTTTAAAATTAAAACATATATTAAAATATAAAAAGATGAGCGGTAAAAAAAATATTAGGAAACAAAAAAATTTATAAATCAAAATATGTATTATTAATATATGTGCACAAATAATAAAATATCAATTTTAAATTTAGAGGAAGTATAAAACAACTGGTTTATTTTCATGCACATGTCTCCTTGTTTGGGACAAATTTTAGGAAAATCTTTTTTTTGACGGATTTTAGGCAAATCTAAACTCCAAAATACTACTAAGAGTCCTCGCCACATAAATATTATGCAACTTGAAACAAAATTGATTTTAAATTTATATGCAAGCATAATAAAATGAAAAATATCTCCACCACGTTCGTATGAATAACGATAAAGCATAGTGATATGCACTGACTGCATATGATGATATATGACCCATATTTACTTTTGTTTTCTAAAATGGAAGCTGCCTATATAAAGATGATTTGAACGTTGGATAATCATTTAGAAATGATCAGAATTCACCTTCAAAGTTAATCATTTAAGTGATCAACACAACTAAATAAGAACTAATGTTAACTGATTCATGCTGTATAATAGTTATAAGATTTATTATGAAAGTTGAGTTACTAATACTTCCAGTTCTCATTTCTTAAAACGATCATTCTAATGTATCAAAAATAAATTATTATGAATGTTTTTATTAGGGCCAAAGCATAATCTAAACCACTTTTTCATCATTCACATTAAACGGTCAAATAAATTGAACATGTTTTCTATTTTAAATGAATCTTGATCGACATCAATTGTATCGCAGTGCAATTTGCTAGTCCTGTTTCGGATAGAGAAAATAAAGTTGTTCTTTTCCTCTCGCAACTTTGTGGCTTTATTTCTTTTGCCAACCTTTAGTTATTTTGTCACTTTCGATCTGGTCGCCTCGATGGGATCTACATGCCTTACACTGATGTATACCAATCTCTAAAACGTTCAATGTTCTTACGTCATACATGCATTAATATATACTATACACTATTTGGTACATATATAATATGGGTGTGTGTATATCCACTATTTGACGACTAAGATTTGTGATGATGCTGATAACTTTAAGAACAATATGAAGAACAATTAAAAAATGGATTTAAATTGAAATGACGATTTGTTAGATCTTTCCATGGCAAAAGTATAGGACCAGTTTTAAAGAATTGTTATATTAACTTTAAAATATAAGAATCGTGAAATTTTCTATGCATTAATTTTTTTCAAAACTGTATTTTATGTATGTCCAAGTATGAACACACTACCCGCACTGAACGAAACCTGCTTTTACTTGTAGCTGTTGCATGTATAGTGTATTACTATACCAAGCGACATATGCACAAAGGGCCTGCGTGAGTATAATAACATCGTGGAGAAACATTGAAACAATTAAATAAGTACGAGAACCATCGAGAAGCTTTGCGACCTAAGACTAATCCTAATCATGAGCAAATTAAATTGTATGCAAACAATTTGTTTTATTGTAGATTTTAAAAATAAGCATAGCTAGCACTTATCAAGAAAAAAAGAATGTTCCTTCAAAAGTAGGCTTAAAAGCATATTGCGTAACAAAGCACGTTCTTGATTTCATAATTCCATTTCTTTTCCTGCTTATCATCATATCCTTTTTCCGAAGCATGCGTCATTAGTTAAACTTTATTTCCCAATAAAATGCATTTTCCTTATTTTCTCTTTAGTTTTCTATATTCATAGAAACTATTGATAAAACACCAAATGGAAAATAAATAAAGGTATTTAAACTAAATTAAAATAATTATCATTACTATTGAAAAACAATAGTAGAGGGAGAAGAAAAGATCAATGGAACAAGACCGAACCCGACCTCTTAATAACCTCCCAAGCTCGAATTAGCCTCTGTCTTTTCTATTTTCATGACAATAACACAATAAGATTAAGGTTCTTTAGTTCTTTTAGATCATTGGTCACTCAAAATTTGAACTTTTTAAAAATTAATTTAAAGGTATCCCAGATCGATAGAAAAACTCAAACTAATCTCTAAGTGGAGGTATAGTCATGGATAGACAATTTCTCCAGATATTTAAATGGGCTCGAAGCATGAACACATGTTAAGTGATCAGAAATAATCGTGACTTAATTTCGCATAGCATATGAGTCGAAGCTGAAACATGTTAGTTTAATTACGTTTTGCTTCTTCTCCAGGAAAACTTTTAAAATATCTTCTCTCCTCTATCTATTTTATGAAGTTTAATGGGCTAAATCAAATAATGGGCGTTTCTATTCTAAAGCCCAGCTATACTTGGGATGCGACCAGCCGATAATGTTTGTCCCGCATTAATGATATTGGCCCGGTTTGGGTGTACAATGTAAATTGATCTGGTCACCCAAAAAAAGGCAGAAAAACAATGTAAATTGATTGGTTACCCAAATACGTTGAAGTGCTTTATAATGTTATTACCGAAGATTCAAATCCTTAAAAATAAATTTATTATTAATTTATGCTGATTAGTGGAGATAAACTTACATTAAATTATCAATACTAGGTGCTTTGTCCGTACATAAAGACTTTAAATCAATTTAAAAAATCATCAAAATAAATGATTATCTGCATCCAAAAAATTTGATCTAAAACATTAAACTTTTTATATGATAAAGTTATTCACAAATTAAAAAAAAAATCTATTTTTTCATTTAAAACTTTGAAAAATCTAAAGTCTATTTCATTTCTTCTTAATTGATAAAAAATAGAAATATATCTTTCAATTTGAAAATTTGAATAGATAAATATACATTCAAAATTGATCTTGCAGAAAGAATAATATTAGTTTAGATAATAATATAATATATTTGAATTTATTTTGGTCAAACACGTATTTTGTTTCTCTTTGAATGATTTTTTATTTTATTATGATTAATTCATATTTAAGATTTAACTATATAAAATATAAAAATAAATTTAATTTAATGTGTAAGTTGAGACGCAAAAATAACTTCACAAATATATATATATATATATATATATATATATATCTTTATATTATATTATTATATTTTTTAATTTGCAAATAATTACATATTAATTTTTTTTTTAATTTTCTCTTTTAGATTTTATACAATTAAAAATTTTACTTTATGAACATTTATTTATGTATTTTCTGTTTTTGAATTTTTTTAATTAAAATATATTTTCCGGATAACAGCACAATATATATAGAATTATCTTTTTTGTTTTTAAATATATATTTAGATTATGGATAATTCTTATCATTATTATTAATTTAAATCATTTATCTAATCAAATAAGTATTAAATTCGTTTTTTTATTTTTGGCTGATTTATATATTTTATTCATTAAGAGTAGAATCGATATTAACCACTCTAACTTTTAACGTGAGAGCTCCGTTGCGAAAAATCACTTCGCAAATAATAGTATAGATAGATAGATAGATGGTGTACCTAAAATCATATCATCTGGATTCTGGATTCTTAGACGGCAAAAAATGATTTAATATTAAAATCATGAACATAATAATTATCATTATTGAATAAAGTAGTACAAAATCAGTATTAAAAATACTTAACAACTATAAAAGATGCATTCGATTAAAACTTGTTCCCTCTTTTTTTTCTTTTTTTTTTTGAATGAATGTTAAATTTTATTCATCAAAAAAATCTTTATACAAACTAGTGCTTACTTTCTACTCAAGGAGCTAACATAAACACAGAACTTCAAAACAGAAAACTATTTACATTCTAGTTTGAAACCAATATTGCAAAAGCTTCTCAGAACATAAACTCAGAACTATGATTTTTTCATGTCAGAACTATGATTTTTTCATGTCAAACTTCTGTAAAAACTTCCATGATAATAGTTCTTACAATATATTGTTAAACTAACAGAAAGTAAGTAACTCCAGCTTCGACTTGTTGTCATAATTGATACATTGGATATTCTGGTCATAATAATCAAAATACATAAGATCTCCTAACATGTCTTTCTTTTAATTTTATTGGACTTCCAAGACTTTATTTAGGTGGACACTAGCTAGTTTAAAGAAAGCTTAATCGAAGTTCCAAGGGCGATGGATGTTCCATCTCAGCCCCACATGATGAATACGAAGGAAACGTCGTCGTGTTGGTCTCTCGTATGTACTCACGGTACTGGTTATGACCTCTGCTTCTAATTTTGTCCGGTTTGCAGTCTTGATATGAATTAACCGGAAAGAGTTGTAGTGTCTCTATTACCCTCTCTTCCTCCTCTTCGTTTATTTCAAAAACATCTACATTATAGTACCAATCATCCGTAACAAATTAAACACATTATATTATAAATCATCAAAACCTACTTGTTAGAGGAAATGAAAAACATTTAACTAGAGATTAGTATTGAAAAATCATACGATATGATTGAGATTACCTCTAGTTGATGGTTGACGATGGTAATGAGTGATATAATCATTTTCTTGATGATGATCAAAATCAATAGAGATTTTACGGCGTTTTTGCCTCTCTCTAGCCTTATGGTTTTGGAACCAATAGAAAACGTTCTTACTCTCGATCTTGCCGTAGAAACTGAGTTCAGTAGAGATCTTCTGAATTTGGTCAGTGGTCGGAGTTCTAAGACCGGCTCTGAACAAGTCCGTTAATACCTTCAACTGCTCCACCGTCGGGTTCCACCTCCCACACTTAGTCCCCGTCCCTCCTCCTCCTCCGTTGTTGCCACGTACGCTACGAACTTTCACCGGGAAAGACATTTTCAGATATTGTCCTATCAGTCAAGTGTTTACGTTTTAGGGCTTGTTGTGTTGTACATACTCATATATAAATGCTCAGATCTAGTATGGTTTTCTCGCTCTTTTAAAAAAAAAAAAATATTTAAAAGACAAATGAATTGATAAATTGTCGGGAGGAGAGGTTTTCGAGTTATGTGTCGTTTTATGATGAGTTGTTTATTACGAAATGCATGCTTTGTTTTTTCTTGGGATTTGGGAGAGACTGATCCTTGCAGATTTGATCGTTTTCTTTATCCCAAACCTATCTAGGTCTCTGTTCCATGTATATATACACATATAGATCTCATATATGCAATACATTTTGTATGGACATTCCAAAGATTGAAATAAAATAACGATTCAATATACTTCATTGTAGAGTCTAGACTAGAGGTGCAAATGCCAAGTGGTCGTTGGATTTGAGATCAGGTTTTAATCTATAAGACTAGAAAGCAATATGTTCATCATATTGCTGAATAGAGATTTGTTATTATTATTGATGAATATCACAGCAAACATGACCACCATGATCTGAATGTGATAAAGAATTAAGTATAACATGACACTGTGTGAACAGATTGACTCACGAGTTGTTTTACAGTAGTTTTATATTTTGTTTTCCACAAAAGATGTGACAATTCAGTCTCATAGTTATCTAACGGTAGTTTTGTATTTTGTTTTACACAAAGATGTGACACTTGAGGGAGCTTGGTCGGCAACTGCAGATGGGAAGAGATTCAAAATCTTGTTCTTATCTACTAATAATAACAATCCCCATTAATGTGAAAGGGTGCAAAACTCAATTAAGTTGAAAGATTGTAATTTTATATTTTTATATCCTAAAAAGTCTTTTTACATATATTTTGAAAGATTGTAATTTAGTATTAGTGTATAAAACTATTTTTTCTATTTAGCACGTGTATTATTATCATAAAAAGATTCTGTTTAAAATTTATGTTTTGAAACAATGCATCTTTTCAAAAGTTAGTTAAAAGGTCTCTGTTTAAAATATATGTTTTGAAACATTACATCTTTTCAAAAAGTTAGTTATAAAATATTAATGATCTATTTTTTTTATAGGAAATAAAAATTGTTATCCCACGGTGAAATTTGTTCAGAGAATACAATCTAATGGCTAATATTTGTTTACTTTAGGCCTATGATGTCATCAATTAAATCGTTCTCTTCAGTTTACAAGTCATAACTCCTCAAAGGCAACGCTTGCAGAACCATTATCATCTCCTTGAAGAGTCGTGTCTGTTCACGATTCGCAGTTTTTTTTTGTAGCCCATTCATCAAATGCTCTCATTTTCTTCTTCTCTCTTTCTTTCTTCAACATCCAAATCCGGTCAAACTTTTGGTGAGCATTCAATTCATAGATCTTCATGCATCTTCTCTCAATCCTATCTATCTTTGCACCCAGAATCTCAGAATCATTTTCGACATAATCGTTTGTAAACCATTTGTTTGTTTCAACCAATTCCCAGTCGTATGTCTGATTAATTTCTGCCTCTTGGATTTTTAGTCTTCTTCCTTTTATGGTATACGTATTTGTCTCTGCAATATTTGCAAGTCTCTGTGACCCGATCTCTTTTTGAATGGTCGGTCAGTAATGTGTGGGAGGTGGAGTGAACTGCGCCTTACTTTTTGACTGCATAAAGCATAATTATAACTTAAGATCAAACTTTGTGCTGGTAGCATTAGAAGGAAGTTCCTGACGGTTTTGGTTGAGGTGTTGTTGTTGACCTCCTGCAGTTGAACATGCAAACAATGGCAAAGAAGCCCCCGCTGCAGTCTCATGGGAAAGCGCCGGTGCCTGTGCTGTCAACAGAGGCAGAGAAGAGGATGAGAGCGGTGTTGAAGAAAAAAGAGCTATGTGTTGAGGGTTCCACTGGTACAACATAAGAAAGCAAAGACATGTTAAGGGGATGGAACTACGTTTTGAAACGGTCCGGTTGGTCCTGCGTTTGTTGCAAGAACTTTTACTTAAATCCCTTGGCTCAGTGTCCAAGCAATCCACAAATGAAATACCTAAACAAAATTAACCAAGTATTTGAAAATATTTATGTTTAAATTAGTATTGTTTCCCCCGCTGTCAAGTCAATTTTCTTTGTTTCGTATTTATTTTCCTAATTTTGTCTCATTAGTATTTGGTTCGTGACGTTTTGACAGAAGTACTAATATGGGTATCGTGAATAACCTAAGTAATATTCTTCTTATTATTCATTAACTGATAAATCTCAGGTGCAGCACTCATCTGTCTGTGCATATGCGCTTAAGTGGGGAAGCTTGTTACTACAAGTTTGTACTTGAAGAAGAAAGACTGCCAACTTTCGATAAGAATTCAACATTTATAATGTTACAAATCATTGCATTAAAATACATATATATTTTATTCTAACTTAATGTACACCGATGTAGTTAATACATTTGTCAACTTTTGAGTTTCGAGTGTATAAAAACATATGAAGAAACCAACGAATTGTTAAGTGATATGTAACTTCTAGATCACGAAGCTTGCAACATGTCATGAAAGGTGGACCTCAAGTAGGTTGCAGAGAGGGGCAGGCGGAGTGAACATTCTCAAAGAGGTTCCATCAATGCATACACTATTTTCTCTGTATCCGAGCTAGGATCCCCTGAATCAGAAAATTATTGTATATTATCAGTTTTTGGTCATTGTAGATTTTAAGATTTATGGCTATTCGTGGTTGGTTTTAGTTTTAGCTTTAGATTGTATGGATTGGAATATTTATAGGGTGAAAAAATATTTTATTGGAATAATTATTAACTACAAAAAGAAATTGAATCAATAAAAATTGTACCAAGGATGCGATTTTGTCGTTTTAAAAGTAGTCATACATCAATAAAGTAGTCTAATTTAGCGTTTTGATATGCAGTTTTGATTAGTAGTCTTATAGTCATACATCATTTTGTTACAAGCAACTTATAAATGAAATTAATAAAAAGCAGCAAAAGTAATGACATATGGGAATTGCATACTTCACTGATAATTTAAATACTGACTTTGAGATGCCCTTGATTACGTTTAAAATACATTTCTAATAAATTACACCGTTTAATGTTGTCTTCACCAACAATAAAAATCTGAAAGAAAGGATGTTAATACTTTTTTTTTTGTAAATGTCTGTATTACAAGATCAAGTAGTCTGAGACTGTTTGAGTAGTTTCGAAGAAGCAGTCGATCCAGCCGTGCGGGTCTACATAAGAAGAAAACACCATTGCTTCTTACATTGGAAAGACACATCACTACATAGTTTGACAGTAACTAATTAAATATAATATCTACAAAGAATACTTAAAAATATTACAACCCACAATGTAAGCTTGCCATGGTTAAAATAACATCTATATATTTCTATTAAGAATAATAACATGTTATTTTAAAAAAAAAAATCCTTGTATATAAGTTAATGGAATTTATTTCTATTAAAGTATGTTTTGGCAGTTAATCAATAAATTATGTCTTGATTTTTTTCCAAAAGAATGGGTTACCAAAACAATAGGGGTATCATCATTTTACTTGAAATAATGTGTGTAGTTGTAGAAGACCCTAACCAGTCTATTCAGTCTAATATATATATATATATATTGACAATTACAACAAAAAGCAAATGAACCGATTGTTTGATAAAAAAAATAACGAACTAATTTGAATCAACTTATAAGTTATAACACTTACAAAGTCGAACAAATAATGAGCAGATTCATCATTTGTTGCTTGCGTATCTGTACGCCTGTATACGCTTTCGTACCAAGACGCCACTGAACCTTCAGATAAAAAAACAATATTTACCTCTTTGTCAAGAAAATCTCACATGTCTTTGAGAATATGAGAGATGTTGAAACTCAAAAGAAATGTCTCGTAAAAAACAGAATGAGACTAGCTCGAAGAAAAATACAGACAAGTCAATTGGTTTAGCAATCATTTCTACTTTCATTTTATTATATGTGGATTGTATTGTATTAGTTAAGTTATTCTTGCAATATATATATGCTCTCATTAGCAATTGTAAACAAGTTTTATAAAAAAAAATTATTAAAAAATATAATCTATTTTTCTATATAAAATAAGCTTCCGTGCGATATCGCACGGGTTCCTTGCCTAGTATATACAAGAAAACAACTATACAAAGCATAACCTGTTACAAAAAAAAAACTATACAAAACATAACGACTAGCAAATATTTATTTCTCTTTTTTTTCTTTCTTTTCAAGTTTGAATCAGAACTTCAACTTAAGCTCTGATACCAATTCAAGTTTGAATCAGAACTTCAACTTAAGCTCTGATACCAATTCAAATCTCTAGAAACACAAAGGATTATAAGAACAACTTTTCTTATTAGCTTTAGAAACTACTCAAAACTAAAGCTCACAATATGTTTCTCTTAGATCATTGATCTACTCTCTTAGATCTTTTGGAACACCTCTCCATAGATCTCTATTTATATGCAAGATAATTCCCTTGAACATGTGGGATATGGAAAACACAAACCTAATCTAATAGAAAACTTCCTTTTCCTATTTCTAGATTTCCTTGTTGTGTTTATCTCTTAACATATTAAACATCCAATAATATGTTAAGTTTCCACAAGCTTGGAATTACCCAACATTCACCCCCTTAATTCCAACTTGAATTATGGAGATCAATTTCTTGAACTCCGATTAAGCTCCTCATTTGCTTGAACTTAAACTTCAAGTAATCATCCTTCACCACACGATAGTATGCGAATCCACCCATTGTATTCACATCTTTCTCAAGGTTAGACTGGATGTTTTCCTCACTTTTGTATCGCCTCTTCTTAGAATTGGCCCAGTTCTTGTAGAACCTTCTCATGGCCTCTTCACTTAAGTTGCGACGAGTCTTACAGCTGAAACTCGCTCTGGTCACGTCCGCCATCAACCGTACGTGAGCTGTGTCACACACTTCCGTCTTTGTGTCACATACGTGAGTCGTGTTA